AAAATTATATTTAGATACCATATTCAACAACGTCTTTTTAAATTTTATAAGTAAAAAGCATGTACTAGCCAAAATATAGCAATTATAATAGGTACAATTTGAATGAATATAATATTGTAATTTTATAGTAAAAAGTACTACACATGACAGCAGGTACTGCTAAATAAAAAAAAAAAAAAATATAAAATTTTATTACGAATACTTCATTTTGCAGTAGTGGTTATTACGAGTTATAGCTCAATAAACTGTTAATTATAGTAAATTATAATTTCTGCTGCAGTGATATAAACTAAACTTTCCTAAATATTATAAATTTCAGTGAGTTCTGCTATAAATACTGTTTGAACAATTAAATTAAAATATACAGTGAACTATAAAATTATAGTAAAAATTACTTTATTTTCTTGTAACAATGGCTATAATAACTTAACTATTACGTTATAGTAAATCTCACTAACATTATAGCTATCCCCAGCAATTATAAAATACTGTTAAAACTACTATTTTAATAGTAGGTTGAACTGTTTTATTTTTTTCGTGTACACTAAACTCTTGTATTAAGTTAATGTATGTAAACCGATTCCTTTTCATCATACCATATTTTACGTTTTTTCTTTTGTTTTTTTTTCAACTAATAAACTAAACCAATCACTGTGAAGCGCATAATTTTGCCTGCACGCCACGATTGATGAGGTTGGCTGATGGTTCGAACCTGATAATTTATCCCAACGAGTGTGCACACGTTATTAGTACAAGTAGACTTGTTCTTTTTACCTACAGTTTTCCTATGCAGGCATACCGAATCGTGTAAGCTCGGCCTTGTAGATCATTTTTATTACGTCGATAAGGTAAAACTATAGTTAGTCAGTCCTCATCGTATATGCTTATGTTTAAATGTGGTTGTCTATTGCTTATATAAAAATTACCGTAAATAAAACTATAGTTGCAGAAATTGCAAGTAACAATTCTGAAGATTTACTTACTGTCGATAGTTTTAAATTTAGAAAAGTTTATGAAAGTAAATCTGGTAATGTAACGTGGTGTTGTATGCTGAAATCATATTTAGCAAAGATTAATTAAAAATGGAAATTCAACTGTGAGTAGAGATTTAATTCATACCCATGATATGGATGAAAATACAGTAGAAATCGGTTATAACGAGTTTCAAGGGCCAACTAGTTTTTCTCGTTATAACTAGTAATTCGTTATATGCGGTTAGAACGAACATTCGTTGAAACCGATTAAAAGCGGAAATACAAAAATAAAACCGACTTTTTTTATTTTAGATAAAAAAATTTTATTTGAGATTAATTTATACATGCACGTACATACATTATTTATACATTTATTATTAATTATTATAATTGGAGATTTAATACATACATAATTATAAAACACTTGAATTGATTTAATTTTTATTTAATTTCTTAAAATAATCTTTGATCGAACTTTGCTTCGTGTTAGAGTTGATCGAAGTTTCTAATAAAGATAACGCTTTTCTTTCAGCATCTGTACCTTCATATTTTGTGTAATAAAATCTTTCTAGTGTTCTCAATGCAGCACGAGCTTCGGATATTGACGGCACAGTTTCAAACTCATCATCAAGCTCATCAATATCAGTATCATTATCTAGCTCAACTTGTTGGCTGGCTATGACATTGTCGACTACATCTTCATCCGTTTGAATTTCTGACGTTATTAGGTCATCATCAATCTGTAAGTAGTCCTCGTCGATGTTATTAATCAATTCACTGTCTGCTTGTAGCTATGTAGTATCGTTCGTAACGTCACAAAACCTGCATGCCGAAAACAATTAGCAATCCCCGTCGATGTTACATTATGCCAAGCTTTATCCAGCATTATTATGGCATCCAAAACAGTTACTTTTGATTCTATTTGATTTTCAATATCCTCAATCATTTTTAGTACCAACTGATTCCGGTAATGAGCTTTAATGTTCCTTATAACGCCCTGGTCTATCGGTTGAAGTACAGCAGTAGTGTTGGCGGGCAAAAATACGAGTTTAATACATTTCAAATGCTGCAATGATGGGTGTGCTGGACAGTTGTCCACCAACAGTAGAATTTTTTTTTCTTACGGCGTAATTCATCATATAATATAATAATTAAGAGTCTTTTCAAAAATTGCTGAGGTCATCCAAGCTTTGGTGTTATTTTCATAAAATACGGGAAGTGATGAAACTCCTTTAAAACACCAAGGAATTTTCGATTTTCCAATAACAAGGAGTTTTCTTTTATCAGTTTCTGTCATGTTGGCTGCCACTAAAACTGTTATTCTGTCTTTGGATGATTTTCCACCCGAGCATTTTTCCACCTTGAAGCGAAGAGTTTTATCATATGTGGTAAATTTAATTAATTTGAAAAAAAAGGCCCGCTTCATCGGCATTATAAATTTCATCATCACAGTAACCTGCTCGAAGGGACGGCCAAACGTTAGCCCACCAGTTAGAGCAGATATCAGTATTAACTGCAGATGACTCACCTGAGATCTTGCCGAAATTAATGTTGTGCCGCTGTCGGAAACGCTGAATCCAAGATGCAGAGCATTTGAAATTTTCTATTTTCATTTTTTCAGCCAGTTAGTCAATTTTTGTTTACAAAATAGGACCACTTATAGGCATATTCAATGACCGTTGTTGTTTGAACCATACTAGTGCAGCTTCTTCAAGGTCCTTATGCTGTGCAGTGCGCAATCGTTTTGCGTTAAGTGACGTGGTTTGAAACATATTTTTCAACTTATCCCGGTTCTTCCATATGGTCGAAATTGTCGACGAACAGGTGCCGAATTCTTTTGTAATTACGCTGTTTTTCTCACCATTTTCTAAACGCCCGATTATACCGATTTTTTCGTCCAACGTAAATTGACGACGTGACATGGTGGAACGTCTACACACAACTGACGCTATTTGTAATTTTATTAACTTTAAAACACCAGAATTTGTAAGAATAATGTTTATTATTAATAAGTAATCCATATCTACACAACTAAAGATAATATGTCAATGATTAATCGACCTAAATACGAAAATAGTTCGTATCTTGCAGGTACTTGTTCGTAGTAACCGGAAGGTCGTTAGTCAAGTTAGCTTTATTTTACTCGTTATAGCCGATAACTCGTAATAACCATACTCGTTGTAAACGTATATTTTAACATACAATCATATGCGCTCGTGCCGGGACCTAACGTTTTGCTCGTTGTAAGCAATATCTCGTTCTAAGCGATGCTCGTTATAGTGATTTCTACTGTAATACGGATCAAAAAAAAAGTTAAATCGTCAACATATTCGAATTGCGTGTAAAAAAAGAGCCAAAAAACATGACTGATCGTCCAATTAAAATTATACTCGTATATTCTAAAATTACAAAGAATATACGTTTTGATACGTTGGATTACGGGGACGTTAAATTAATTCATGATAGAATGTATCTTTGTAGAAACATACAAACAATTGTTCCAAAAAATATTGGTGAAGTTCAAGAAAATTATAATTAATGATTGCCGTTAATTATATATAAAAAAAAAAAAATTGAAATTTTTACATGCACTACAAATTTAAAGTTTTAGAGTTTGGTCAATACGTCGATGGTACATTAACTTATTGTTCACATTTTTTCTGTCAACTTATACTATTCATGATTTTTATATTAATTATAATATACCCGTGGTATTTTGTTAGTTACCAACAAAATGTGGTGAAGTCTATGAATACATATTCAAAAATATTAAACATATATGTTCTTGTTTAAGCTTTGAATTTTCACTTGTTGAAATATATTCTGATTTTGAAAAAAGCTTTATAAACGCTGCTTCTAATATTCGGTCAGAAATAGAATTTTCCACTTGCAGATTTCACATGGGGCAATGTTGGTTCAGAATATTGAATTAAAAAATATGTATAAATCTCATGGTCCAGACTAATAATGGATACAATATTGTTTTAGTCTTCCATTTTTACATCTAGTATAAGTATCAGATTGTTTTTGTATATACTATCTCATAATAAATTTTCATTTTTATTTCAACATTTGAAATTTCAACTTGTTCGCATCATTTTAATCATAGGTTGGTTTTGTATTTCTCATATAAGCTCATATAGCAAAGATTAGACACGTGTAATTGAAGAGTGTTCCTTCATCCTGAAACGAATGATTTAATTGGAACTTGCCGGCCAGTGCCGTAGTATTACACCACATATTTCCCCTATTTATGAATAAAATTTAAATACGTCTCATTTGAATTATATTTCATCCAATGACTGACTGACGAATTCCACACGGCTTCACGAGATTTTAACGAATTCGTCTGCTATCTAAGAATCATTTTCTAAAAAACAGCGTATAAGTAAAAAAATAAAAATAAAAATATTTTCACCATATCGGCTTTTCTCGTTCGTCTACCCTGAATTATACGGGTATAATGTGTGTTACCGATTTCTATTTCTAGACATTATATGTTAATGTTGTTGTTGTTGCGATAAATTTGTGGTTTTCATTATTTTTATACAATTTCGGGTTTCGTAGTCGTTAATGTATGCCGTAATCGAACTTTACGTTAAAAAAAATTACATCCTGCGATAAAACACTGGCACTAAATATGGAGATTGATTAAATTTTTCAGCCAACTTTAATTCATAAATAATACATATACAGTTTCTTTATGCGTGTACGTGAACGAAGTCTGCGAATATTTACAATGGATATAAAAAAAATTAAATCAAGGAGCGATAACTATTTTTTTTTTTTTTTTTTTTTTTTTTATTAATTTAACACTATTTCAAAGTATGAATTCTGAATGAATGGAATATGGACTCATGAAATGTTTAATGCACAAACAAATATACAGTATAATGTACCATAGTTATGTTGGACGGGGTGAAAATAAATAAATCGTCTACGTTGATGAATTCAGTATATATGTATTTTTAGCAATAACTTTAAAGGTAGTTTAGCATGTATTTATAGGTAATATTATACCATCAAACTGAAAATGACTGCGATGATAAATAAAGAAAAGAAATATTACAAATCAAAATATATATGAATTTTAAATTACAATAGTTTATTTCTTTTATACGTACAATGGAAACCGAACTCATAACACATAAGTAAGTGTGTAGTTTAAAAAAAAAAATACGTTGCCAAACAATAATTAATACTTAGTAGTTTTATTCGATCGTACGATATTGTAATTAGTTCAGTTGATTATTGAAAACGTACTCGATGACTGTTAACTGTTAGATAATTACTTTGTTTATTTGAGCAATCATCCACTGAAATAAAAGCAAAATCGCTGCAGACATCGATATCGGCAAAGCAGACGCGGTTATCCATTTCCATAGATTCAAACTGTAATAACATTTAAAAGTTCAAGGTTAGACTTAAATTATATTAGGGTCAAAACGAGTAACCTTTTTTCTTGACCTTCTAATGGATTTTCTGAGAAGTCTGATAATTTTAATCTCTTATGAAATATTTAATTAATTAATTATTTATACCTGATGATAATTTTTAAATCTGAAACTTATTCGTAATTATTTGTACACATTAAACCAGTGATTCTCAAACTGTGGGCCATTAGTATACATGGGGAGGAGGGAAGGCGTGACAATTTATGTACAATAATTTAGTTTTAGTATGTATAATTAAGAAAAAAATCTCTTTTATTCCAACGATTTTTATGGTAGAAAATTCTACAGTTTAAATCTTAAACAATTATAATAATTGTGCATTTAATTATGGGGGTCACATTTTGAAAGATTTAAAAACCTCTACCTCATAGTATATTAATAGTAGTAATAATGCAAAATTCAAGAACTTAAATTTATTAGAATATTATATAATATATTTAATATTTTTTGATACATTTTTATACATTTCTAAATTTAATAATCTTTTGTCATTGATAATGAATTGCTAATATTTTTAAACTTTCCGCGTAGCCAATCCGTGTCTAACTTCCGGTTTAATAGTTCGTTAAAATTCAATGTGTGTTTATAATGGTAAAAATAAAACATTATCCTACGATCAATACGTCTTATTTTCATTCTTCTCGGAATCGACCTGCTATTTATTTTATACTTTAGTACGAATAACCATGTGTGTAGAATTTTTCACATATCGCATGGAAGTTAATATCTGATTTTATCACGGATCTCGAATGCGACCGAAGCAGCAGTAATTACAAAAGTTTACCTCGTCCTGCCAACGGTATTACGTTATATGCGTACGAGATACACAAGTTACATTTGTGAAAATCGATCGCCGATAAAAACAACAGATTATAAAATAACCTTGCAGTGTTCGATAAATCTGTTATCGAAATTATTAAGTACAATGTAGAGTGATATTGCAGTTGGTTACAGGGGCGTATTTAGACTTACTTATAGGGGAGGGGGGTGGGTGACTCAAATTTTTTTTAAATTCAGGCTCAACATTTACAAGTAAAATTTTTGGACATATTTAAATAGGCGAATCCTTAAGGTTTGTAGTTTTTTTTTTTATAACCTAATGCCGGATCCACTGGATCCACTTACAATCGACTTTTGTGTAGTACTTCTTTAACACTTGTCTGTGTTTTGAAAATTACGCTTGTGTTTTATTTGATTTTACACTGAGTATGGACCCGACAAAAAGCACAATTTATTACATTCAACATTGACCGTGATGTTACCACTGATCATTGGTACTAATATTGATAATACATAATGATAAATACATCATCATACGTGTCCATTCACTTCAATTATTATATTCGTATTTTAATATTTTATTCTGTAATTTTTCTTATCACTCAATCGCAGTGGGGTAGGACTCGCTAACGCCCATTTAAATTTTACAACAAAAAACACTTTTTAACCATTAATTTTACTCATTTTTTTAAGTATACAACTTATATTTATAAATTATTATTACAGTATTAATTTTAAACTTTGAAAATTTGCTTTTCTCGCTTTATGTTAGCAAATTCATCGATAATTTCTTCATATGAAATTTTTTATTTAAATTTCCTAGTACTATTTTCATAATTTCATCATTAAATTTACTCAAATTGTGTACAAATAGAAAACATCTAAATATTTCAAAAATATAATGAAAAAATTTCGATTTGATTGTAGGATAAAAATACGATTTTTGCACAACTTTGTGCCCTTTTGCAATTCGCACCCCTGGTATAGGCACAATTCACCATACCCTTGCTATGTCACTACTCATTCGTATTTTATGACAACATTTTTTATAGAAAATTAAAATTTTTAATGAATTCGATTTCATTATAAAAGGATACACATAAAAAAAATTTGAAATGTGTTTCCCACATATAATCGATTCCTTAAATACGGATTCGAGGGGGGGTCGATTGCCCCCTTCGCCCTTCTTAAAATACGCCCCTGGTTGGATATCTGATTCGAATTAAGCTCAACATTTTTAAATTTATCAATGACGTTTTTTGTTTCGTTTGCATTACACGAATAATTATCTAAGGCCCCTCTTCCCCACCAACAATCTTTGAGTGAAATAATTTTTATTACTGTCGTTTTTATCTAAAAAATGACTAGATTAAAAAAAATAAAAAAATACGTCATGATTTCAATGTTCATACGCATGAATAACGAGTATTATCGAATCTTGTAATTTTTATAATTTATTTTAATATTTGGTTTTTGATTTACTAGGAATTTAAATATTTTATATAATTTAAACAATTTGGATGTCGTGGTTTATAATTTAATTTGAAACTCAATTATTATAAACGTAAATATAAATAAATAAAAATAAATAATATAATACATTTAATATACATTTTATGAAATGTAGTTATAAAATATTCGTATATATATATATATATATTGAAAACATATTTTGTTAATTACTCATATTTTCTATTTATTTTTAATGCACTCTGAACACTCTGAAAATAAATTTTTTCGACTTTTCAACGACTTAAACCAGTGGTCTTCAACCTACTGGATTCGTGATCCAATTTTCTTACTATAAATTTTCCGCAATCCATACCAGTTTTGTTAGTCAAGAAAACCAAAAAAAAAAATTAAAAATGTTAATTATAATATATGCTATTATTGAAGTGTTTTTATGGATAAACAAAAAATTACATTTGCTAATTTTTAATTTTTATTATACGTAATAAAAAAAAAAAAAAAATCATGCAATGATACAGAAAAAAAAGTGCGACCCCGATAGTTTTCTCACGAAATACTTTATCTTGCCTTAAGTTTACACAATGTAATTTATAGATAAATTACAGGTGAATGAGTTTTATCGATGAAGTCGTACCATTGCTATACCATTACTTAATTTGATGTTCATTATTATCATCTACATAATTGTACAAAATTGCAGGTGAAATCGAAAATTATTTTATCCGATGTCATATGACGTACATAATATAGTATAGTATAATATTATATAATTATAATGTATATGATTTATTAATTTTAAACTGAAAGCTTATTGTGACCCAATCTTAAAGTCTACGTAACCCAAAATTAAATCACGCCCTTCGGTTAAAGACTACTGATCTAAACGAATCAAGAAATGTATGTATTACATCATGTTTTTGTTTTTCCCGTGTTCAATCTCTTCGGAAATAAATCTGCACAAATCTGCATTGATTTCATGTGGTTATTTTTGAACAAAAAATTTTTTTTATAAATTTTCCAATACAAAGGAGAGATCAAAAAACGAGAATGATTCTATTAAACAATTATGTGTGACATTATTTCGATGTATTGATTAATTATTGTTCTTATAGTTTGAGTATGTGATCAGGTCAGTATTTTTTCGTAAGCTTTTAAAGTTTCACTCTCGGCTAGTTCAGTTATATTCGCTACAGCAAAGAAAATGTTTTCATCTTAAAAATTTGGTTACAATTCACATTAATTTAAATATAACAAGTGTCTATTTTTTTTGCAGCGAAACTTTTTAATACAAGCATATTGTATGCGATTCCTTTGTCACGTTTTATATTTGAGTGTATATGAAATAACATTCGTTACGTTACACTACCGACCTTCGATCATATAATCGTTTTTTTTTAAAGTACCGATTTATCATTGCTGTAAAATGTTTATAAATAGATAATACATCCAGTACGACGAAGGACGAATACACCAATAGTGTCGGTACATCTTACTGGTTTCTTTCTTTTAAAAAATTATAACGCATGTTTGAGTATTGTTTTTAACATTAGCGACGTTAGGGCTTCGAAAATCGCAGTTCACCCGCAATCGCTAACTATTGTATTATCTAAATGTGGTGTCGATAATTGTTTTTTTTCTATTTCCGGATTCATGGTTACCTCAACGAAAACTGTAGTGGATCAATTAGTGTAAATTATTTCTTAGAATAACATTGCGATTTGATATTGCTTACTAACACACATCAAACATTCATCGTGTTTACCTACACGTTAAATTAATTAATGTAATAGTCCATACGATCGTTGTACACAACAAAAGTTTCGGATATGTATACATATAGTCAGTGCTCGACTTGGCAAAATTAAAGAAGGGGGACCTTATTTACACCTCAAGTCGAGCATTGCCTATAATATATAAGTACATATTATTCGTAAATATTTTTCAGGTATTTAAAATGCATTTTTTTTCGTTATCATTTGAAATATTTTTTAACCAGTTAAAAAAATCTGAATAATATTTTTATTTATTTATTTATTTTTATTTCCGGCTTATAATCTTTCGCCATAAGATTAAAACTTTTGCAAATTGATAAAAAAGATAATTTTTTTATAAAATATTGAACTTGAAAAAAAAAATGAACTATAGAAATTAGAAACGAATTTGTGATTTGCACTTGTTTTTATACTTAAAATGGACAATTTGTGTTGTGGTTTTTGGAATCTAAACGATTACTTTAAAATATGTTTGGACCTCGGTCATTTTTCCATACAGAACTGCCATATGACATCTGTATGATCTGGCTGTAGATTCGAACCAAATGTGATCGGCATAGAGGTGCAGAGGAGTTTTAAACTCGTGTTAAGTTGTCAACCGTAACACAGAATATACCAACAGCCCATCGTCACGTCCGGTTTTTTATTTTATTTTATATAGGTTTCCATTCTCGGAGATTCTTCACGATACGAACGGCGTAATTGATTAAAGTACAGACTATTTCAGAGTTCGACGACAATATTCTTATCGGTGCACCAGAGATTCTTCGACAACGATACTGCAAGTTTCTTATATATATATATATATAAAAACCTATACTTCATGGACCATAATAAAATATCATAGTACCCCATAACTGTTTTTATTCAGTACGAGATGGGAAATTTTAGATTCCGAGTGAGTCTGCGAAGAAGTTTGTCGTCCACTGCGTAATGAAAGTGCATGAAGTCGGTTCCCGATTTAAACTTGCGCATAAAGTTCTTACCCCTTCGAATTGTAATCTGCGAATTCTTTTTGCATTCCGGTGACGTCGAGAAATGTGGAAAAACTTTTATCAATTACTTACGAGAAATTCTTTGCGATACGTTTGTAATTATTGACCGGAGCACTCTTAGTTCTTATGGCTGATCGAATAGCATAATATAATTTGGTCGAATTCTGGAACCATGGCATGCGTACCCAACAAAGAGTTGTCTGTAGCAATTGATACTTTGGACTTGAAATTGGTATGTGGTTTTACATATGTAAGGAAAAAAAGTTTTTCTCAAACGAGTTTCTTTAAAAACAAGTACACTATCTGTCTCTCACAGAGTAGAATATCGATGATACAGATGGGACGAGAACGATAGGAACTAGAGGCGACCCAGGAGGTTATGTCTAGCACTATTTTAGCTTTATCTTGTGTGGACGTTAATATTCTGGTCGGGCTCATTATATCCTATAACATAACTCTGTAAGATACGGAGAGATGCTATTCGGAGAGAGGAACGGGACCGGAGGTATCCCCTTACCTGGCGGTCCTTTATAGGCTTTGAAAACTGTAAGTTTTTTAAATTTCCCAACGTCAAAACATATCCGTATTTTAGCTTTTAGATTCGATGGGCAAACGTTTTAAGCTGTTTTAAACAGTTTGTTTTTATTTCTCCTAGCACGATTAACCCGGTCGTTGACGACCACCGGACTGCGTCCTGTAAAGAACAACTAAAAAGTACACCAACTTGTTTTGGACCGATCATTATTACATGCATGGTTATCGGTCCTCTTCCCCCGAATTGCATGACACGTACCACCCCGATCCCGATAGCGTATAAGGTCAAATAAGGTTGTACGGCGGTGTACCGGTTGTTGGTATTGCGGTGCGAGTGTTCGTTATTGATTACAATGTTCTTACTCGCGGGGGTGGTCGGTGACGTCGAACGGCGGTCGTTTGTCCAGCAAGCCGCATTTTTTTATTCGGATCTCTTTCATCGGCCTACCCAGATGGTCGGTCAGTTGTTGTTCGATGATGTGTATGAGTTTTTGACCGTCCGTCACGATGCCGAACATAACGTGTTTACCGTTCAGGCTCGGCGTGGGTCGGGTCGTGATGAAAAACTGACAGCCGTTCGTGTCTGGGCCTGCGAACGAAAACTTAAAGCGTTCATTTAAGTACGCGTAATTAACCACGTACAGATCATACGGATCTATTAGAACGGAATGTCCCGAAATCGCATAATCATCGCATGAAAATTTTTACCACCGCAATTTGATTGATTAAACAACAATGCGCCAAATGTGTCGAAAAATACCTGTAGCGACATTTTTGGCCAACATTATTGTTGAAGCTTAAAAATTACGTTTTGATACACAAGCGAAATGCCGTAAACGGTAACTCCGTTTCGGACACAAAAAACGTCAAGCACTATAATGTATTTTATGTATTTTATAGTTGTATTTTGTTTGAAATGTCTGATACATCGTTTTCGCCACCTTGCCTTACTGCATGTCCGAATATAGATATCGAATTATTAAAATACAACATGGTGACGATTAAGAACGTGCGTCTAATCGATTGTATTTTTATATTCACCTGAATTGGACATTCCCACGAATCCCGGCTTTGTCGCGTTTATTTTCAGGTTTTCATCCGGAAACGTGTCACCGTAAATGCTAATGGAACCGCTCCCGTCGTTGTTCAGTATATCTCCACCTGTGGCACGAAGTAAGCGTAAATACATTTTTATTCATATCACGCATGTTTTTTTATTTATTTTTTTTTTTGTATTGTTACTATTTGGCTTCGTCAATAATGCGACTTAAATAAGTAATAATAATATCAACGATTTTAATGTTTTCATAAAAATATCCTGCGGTGGACGTTAAATATACTTAATAATATAATATAATGTAAATTAATATAATGTATGCAATTTTTTTTGAACAAAACATCTAAGATAAGGGTTTTATAAATAATTTATATATTCATAACACTAGTTATAAGTAAACCAAAATTATATCCAACGATAATTTTTCAATGCTTTCGAATGAATGCAATTTTGAAATCGGGTGTTTTTATACAAAATAATCTCTTGGGAAAAAAAACCCGGCGAATAAGTTTATAACTGATTGGACGCGTTAATTTATATTATACAAAACTTGACGGGTGCCAGGATAACAGGAGATAAGTCGAAGAAATGAGAGCGCAATTCCTAATCTCTCCTTTATCCTTGCGGTAAGAATGTATTTACCATACCATAGAATGGATATTTTTACGCAGGGTTCATTTAAGTTATATCTGAGACTACTACGGTATGCAATATAAGAAACCTTAGACGTCACAGTGCGGATTTAAAATACGACGCTCTTATTGGTCGATTTCAAATTGTCGCGCTTTTATATATGAATTATTATTGACTATCTATATTTTAATTATATTATTATTATGTTTAATTATGTGATAATCATCATTTTATTATCATTGTTATTATTGGTTATCACTTAATAATTATATCGAGAAAAAATGTTACTTACTTTTTTATTTTTTTAAATAATATTATTTGTACATCAAGTCATCAAATATGAATCTTAAAAATATCATAGATGAAATAAATATAAGTAATAGCGAACTGCGTTGCGAATTAGTAGATATTATTTAGAATGATGTCGAATTGATAGGTTGTAATTTAAATACTGAAGATGATGTTGACATATTTTTTACTTTAGTCAAAGAAAAAAAAGCCACTAATTGGATTGTTCAGGGACAATTAAATAATTCAGTGAGGTGAGTAAAATATATAATTAAGTATATTTATAACTGCTGATATTTATTATTACCATTCTTAATATTTAGACATAATCTTAATGATATTTTGAATGTCAAATTTTGAGACATAGAAATTACCACAGTATAATTACTTGATAGTAATGTCACTGAATATTATAAATAATAATGATTAAAATAATATAATATTCATGTTGATACCATATTCTTATAGGACTTGTAATAGTAATTTTAATATTATCTATATGAAATGAAAAACAAATAGGACAGGTGTTTAAATCACTTTACAATAATTGTATCTAAGTTCTAACTATTATATATTGAAATTGTAAGTTGTACCTAGTAAGTATTACTAACTATTAACAAAAATGAACAATATCGCAACAGATTAATCAAAACAATTAGGACATTTTTTTTTAGAAATCCTAAGGTCACATTACCCTCATTTAAGAGTGTTACAAACATTAATTATTCAGTTATTGAAAATTTAAAATTAATTTATATCAATGAGCAAATAAATTAATGGGTAGATAATGATAAAACTGTATATTTTTAACACATACTTCTGAAAACTGGATTTATTCTAAAAATTGTAACTTCCACTGGTTTTGATGTCATGATTATGTTTACCAATCAAAGTAAGTCTTGAAGATAATGTAGGTATAATTTTAAGAGGTCATGTAAAATAATGCTGATATTATGTAAATCACAAAATAAATATACAATATTCTAGCATTATTCTGGACAATTGTTCTTATTTATTTCATCTATGATATTTTTATGATGCATATTTGATGATTTGATGTGCAAATATTATTGAATTTACTTTAATTTTTTTTATTTATTTCATCTATGATGATAGTATAATAATAATTCATATATAAAAGCGCGGCAATTTGAAATTGACCAATAAGAGCGTCATATTTTAAACCCGCACAATGACAACTAGAGTTTCTTATATCACCTACGGTATTCATCCTCGATTCTTGATATTGTTCTCATTTTTGTTGCAGGTGAAAAAAAATTTATTCCAAGGTTTGATGATCAATCGAAAAATCATTTAAAGGCAAACTTCCAAACGTGATCAATAGAACAATGTCGTTTGTTAATTATTCTATAGTTTGAAAACTATTGATCGTGATAATTACGAAATTGAGCTGAAAGCTAATAATAACAAAAAACCACCGTTCGTTTCAACAATTACAGATTTATTAAAAAACAAAAATTAATATAAATCTACACTTATGTGCCTAATAATAAACTAATCAGTACTGATGTATGATCTTATGAAAGTAATGCGATGAAATAAAATTTTAAATCGGAGATGGATAGTTAATTAAAATTAATTAGAAATATCGTGTATTATAAATACTAGAATTAATAAAAAAAATAATACTAATTACATAATAATACGGCAATACGGCAAAACGTATTGAAAAACCAATTTTTATTTTTGTTTTACGGTGAGGGAAATTGTATTCACCAGTATTACTTCTATTCTTAACTTTATGAACAATGGTCGAAATCAGCGGTACCCGCGGCCCGCCGAGGTATTCAACGGAGCCCATTACAATTTTTTTTAAAATGAAACAAAATATTTAAAAAAAAGTTTTCGAATAAAAATTTCATGATATAACCTGTGCACTGATCAAATTAATGTGTACAGCGTGTACCTCAATTTGTAATATTTTCAGTAGTCAATAAAATATATGAAAACAAATTCAATATGTACCTACATTTATATTGTATAACTACTGTGTGTAATAAAATAACATTATTAGATTAATATTGATTTTATATTTTTGATTAGTTTATATACATTTTTTTTACAGTGTTGGGTTTAACTAACTCGTTCGCTGATTTTTATAGAAACTACAGAAATCAACTTTTGGGATGCAGTCGATAGTTTTGAAACAACTGATTAGATATTTCAACAACTGTTCATAATAATATTGCACATGCGATTAAAATAACGAATTTCAGATGCTAAATATTACTATATACATCATTCAATCACAATGTTAACACGTCCGTTAACTAATATGCGGAATACATTCAATCGATAACAGTAATTTTTTATTTTACGATTATTTCACTTATCTCTTGACTATAATTTTTTACACAAACATGAATCTATCCACCACCAACGTAGAAAAATGATAACAACAATTAAAATAATATACCTTAAAAAAATGTTCAAGGATTTTTTATATATATATATTCTTGATTCTTTATATTGTAAAAAAATAATTTATTAATTTTCCTACCGGATGAATTTCTATTAAATCGATATATGCCTGATATACATAGTATATTACATATATGCGTTTGATTGTCGTAGATAATAATCGTACCTATACAAAAAAAATACGCGCAGTTGGTTTATAGTTTTAATAGCGTATTGCGAAATAGTATTGTTACGAGTAATTTAAATAAATATAAATTTTAGGTATAATAACACATAAATCGTGTCGCGATGTCCACATTATATATAAAATACATAAAAACGCGCATACATATAATCGAGTTATGTGTTACGAATAATATTATACATAAATATAATGTAAAGCGCGGTATACAGTATGATATTCAGTTGTGCTCCTTTTTCGTCCGGTCATTTACCCAAATATAGCAATACAAGGCAAAAACGAATGGGGGGGGGGGGGGGACGAAAAGAAGAAGTATAATAAATTTAACGCACAGACCCTGTACACGTTATAGTGGTGTGCGCGCAGAGCTGTACACGATTGGGGCGATATCTATGACAGAAATCTAAAATTTAACAATAAAAACCGACTAGCAGGGCAACGCGCTCGCGCAAATAGATTTCGATCAGCGCGGCGATAGTCATCGGAAAATAAAATAGCAGTCGGCTGAATAAATTGACTTGATTCCAATGGTGCGATAAGCGTCCGAAAAACGACCGACGGAATAAAAGCGAGCACGCATATATATAGCGCGTAGATTTTAATCGTAGATGAATATCTCCTGAGGCGGCCGCGGCGGGTGGTGCAAGGGAATTGCAGGCACGGTCATGGGCGAGGGAGCAGAAGGACGAGCTGTTGGGAACATTATAAAGCGGAGGAGGAAAAACGGAACGCGTGCGCACCAGAACTAAGTTACCTGAACGCATATATATATATATATGTACCGTTGGGTCATGATGTATAAGGCTAGAGTTAGGATTTTGTAGTTCTACAAAACTTTAAAAAATACAGTGATGAACAAACGAAATAAAAAAACTTCAAGATCCTGTGAAAGAAGCGCCTAAATTATTTTTGAAATATATTTATTTATAAAAAGCTTGCACTTATAAAAAAAATTGAAATACTCGCGTTTCAATCTTATTATTTAATATAGATGTACAAAGCAAGTAATATGATAGTTAATATAACGAGTTAAAGTTACTATAAAATTCTTTAATATACGTCCAAATATTAATAAATAAAAATTTTAAAAATAGGAAAATTATTAAAAAATTCTATGTCAACAACCGGCAGCCGATGAGTATTATGTACAATGTAAAAAATAAAGTAGAATTAAATAAAATGCTTTCAAAATTTGAACTCAAATAAAAAACTAATGAATAACAAATAATTATATTTTCTCGTATGGGAAGGGTCAAGCGTGTGCGGTGTTAGACGAATAAAATATGACAACGGTAACCGTTTAGCATATGAGCAACAAAAAATAATGCGTGTAACGGAAAGTAATTTCCATATGGGAGTCCGGAAGATGGAAATAAACGAGGACCTGCAGGGGAATAAAATGTATTTTAAAATACCTTTACCTAGTTATTATTTAAATTCTGAGCGATTTCATTTGACGAATCGAATAAAATAATCATTATTTTTTTTAATATAGTTTCATTATGAAAAACGTTTAAAAAACTTGTTAAAGCAAGATATTACTTTGACGGTCCAGTCGTCTGCAATGTTTTAGAACGGTTATACAACATGTGTACAATGCAAAATCGATTTACGCAACTCGAATACGCGGTACAACGTGATAAACGAATTGACGTGTTTACAATATGGTTCGTTTCGTCAACATCGAAGATTGTAACCCGAAGGGAATCATATTACACTTTGGTATTTTTCAAGTAAGAAAAAATTAATAATTTTCAATTTCATCGGTTATAATGTATGTGTGCATAGTATATCAAATATTATTATCACCGTCCTCATTAGCAGTGGCGTTTTTACATTTTTTTTTTTTTGAGGGGGGAGGGTGTCATCATACATTTTTTTTTAAATCAGTATAAAATTATCAGAATCAAATTTTTATCTTCTTATTGAAAAATCTAATTTCATTAATTATAAACTATATGGTAAACTCTAGCTTCCTTCTATTATTTACGAATTCGTTAATAACTCTATTGTTAATAATATTTAAATCGGGATGAATCGATAACATGGCAAGGCCTTTTAGCCTTTTCTGAAACAAAATATGATCTTCAGCCAACTATTTCTACAGTTAGTAGATAACAGTTTTCGGTGAACTACGGGCTACAACTACCTATTGCTGTTAATAGGCATTAGCCTGCGAAGTGTATAATGTGTTTCGACTTGCACGGTCAAGAACACCAATATTATTTTACCCGGGTTTAATTAGTTTTTATAGAATCAATACAATTTTTCCTTTATTTGAGTTTAAAAAATTAATAAACTTCAAATTGATGGACATTTAAAAACTTGAGGACTGTAAATTATCTGGTGGGGGAGGGAAATCCCAACACCTCCTGCCATCATAAATACGCCACTGCTCGTTAGTATCAGTGCAACGGGTACGGTGCGTGTCCCCGACCGTTCGCCGAGAAGTGCGAGGGCAAGTGGTGCGGGCGATGAGCCGAACCCGCTAATCCCCTTCGTCCCGAAACCGAGAACGCAGAGAAAGCAGACCAGGAGCTTCCGTGCCCATATAAGCGAAAATCAGAATCGTGAAATCGTTGCCTCCGCTCATTCGCATTACCGACCTCGTCGTGTCCTACACACTAGTTATTGCACGGGAATCGATCGTCTTGTACGTTTTTTATGTTTACGAAGAGGGAAGTTGAATCTTTGTTACCGAGCGCTGTGTTCATCACCGTTTCCCGTTTCGAACAAAAAGATTTGACGACATCGATATCCCTATCGATCGTTCGATGATCGCGAAAGAAATCGCATCGCAGCGCACAATAACATTACATGTTGTACGAACGTTTGCGGGTATCCTTTTAAGGAGCGAGTGCGCGCGCGCGTGTGTCACTGCGTACGAATTAATTTATTCGCGTGCGTACGAGATATTGTTCCGACGAAACCGCGTAGCGAACGGCCAAGCCGAATAGATTACGTATTGTTATTGTGACGACGAAACGATCCGTTCGTGTGCATAGTTATCGCCTTGTCACTGTGGCGTACGTTGCGCACGGTGTTCGCGCGGCTTCTTAACATTTTCCGTGTCGCTTTTAAGATGTGCACTTGTACGTGAGATCGCTTTCGTGAACTGCATTCGGTTTTTAACCGCAGGGAAAAAGGGAATACAATATTATATGATACAGTGACGTAGCCGAGGGCTGGCTAAAACGGGATACTCGCCCTGGGCCTCAATCATCTAAAATAATATATATATCGTACGCGAATAAAAATATTTCCAAACACTATAGCGACGATATTACACGTGATAATGTGATGACGGTCAAATTTGTTTTTTAGTATTTACTGTCGGAATACTTTTTAAGCCCGATTCACATTCGCATGACACGACAAAACATTCGAGCAAACAATGTTTTGCCAGTTTGTCAGTGCCTGTCGGAATCAATTTTATTTAAAATACACATATTATTATTATTAAATTCTCATGTATATAAATCAATTTATAAATTACATTTGTAAAAGAAAACATTTGCAATGATTACAACAAGCCTAATTATTATAGACATAATACATAGATACAGGGGCGTATTTAGGGGGGATGATATGGGTGTTGGAACACCTCCAATCGACCGTATTTTATGGTATATCACCAAATTGCAAACTTAATTACAGTATAATTTAAATAAACGTAGGTATATGTAAATATAATCATTTTCATTAATATAATAATTTATATAAATACATAGTATTTACAGAGATGGAACTAGGAATTTTTACGCCCGGGTAAAATGTTAAAATTACGCCCTATTCATAGACTAATAAATAAATACTCAAATAAATTGTGTTCTTATAATCAATATACAATCGTACTTATTGAGTTTTAATCTAATATCAGTATTTAATGAAGTTAAATATATCAAATTAGTTGTTAATAATTATGAAAATTACACCCTCTAAAATGTTACGCCCGGGGATAAATCCCCGACTTCCCCACCCTAGATCCGGCCCTGGGTATTTATAAATGTAACGCGTAAGGGGGGAGGAAGAACCCTCATTTACTATAAGTCTATTAAATTTTAAAACACACCGTTAAATGAATTCTGGATACGCCACTGCATAGATACAATATTTATATTATGTTGGACCATAAAATAAATTATATTGTGTACACATATATTGTAATCGAGCAGTAATGCTATCAGGTTAGTAGTAATGCTATCTATTATTCTTAAAATCTCAAATTTTTAAACATGTTAACAATTAACAATTTCCGACCGTTGGAAACGAAAATTTAAATCAACTGAGTGCGTTTCTGTCGGTCGCATGAGAATTGGACGTGATTTTCATTTGTTGTGTCGTGTCTTGTCGTACGAGTGCGAATCGGGCTTTAGGTTTTTGTTCTTGTTTACTGTCTACCACGATTTGGTTGCTTATTAATAAAAAATAATGATGTTTATTGATACCATTTAGTTATAACCATTTAGTATATAAGTTAAATAGTAAAACTAAAACATTTTTTGTCAGGTAGATGTAACAGGGTGTGGAAAGTATTGGATCACCTCGGGGTGAACAGTTTTAGTATTCCCAAGTTGCGAACTGAATGTGCGCAAATAGAGAGAAGATGGCGTAATATACGCGTTTCTTAAATACTATGAATATGAATATTTCAACCTTAACACGTCAATGAAAAAATTTAGTTGCAAATTAGATTTTCAAAATATAATTTTTTTTCCTAACAGTTTAATAATTATTATACGGTATCGTACTTTTACAATGCACGTGCACTTCAATGTAAGTATGAGTATTTTATTTGTTGCCAACGTTTAAAAAACTGTTGTTTACTTTAAAAATTAAAACTTGAACCTTTAACTGCTGAACTTTTTGATTGGTGTCTCCGACACGAACTGTTACGTAAAACGTAAGGAACTTGTGTGTGCAGATAACACGGCGTATTATATATAATAGCAACCATCCGTCACCCTTCCACCGCGACCGATGTAATGTGATTAAAGCGATTATATGTTTTCTGCTTTTCACATGTACACGTTCATTACGTCATAATATTCGATCTATATTTCAACTTTATACGGAAAAAATAAAATCATCGTTTTGATGTACATCGAGTCTTAATATTATTTGTCTATAATCACCTTTTCCCTTTTTGTTCGTTCCGATCGTACGAATATTATATACAGTGTGTCCGTACTGGGTTTTGTTGACAAAATAATGCAATAATAATAGTAGAATGCTTGAAAATACGATATATACTCGTATTAACGATGATCGAATAAGGATCGCCAAAATGCAGCGTATCAAAATCTAGCGAAGGAGAGTGAAAAAAATGTGTTCGTTGTTGTGTGAATTCGAAGAAAATTTACTCGTTTGAATACGATTTAGGAGAGTGTCGTCATCGTTTCGTACTATATTGTTTTTACATGAGTTTTCGACGCGCCGAGGCCAGTGATTATTCCAAGAGGCGTCCGGGGAGTGATACCGACCAGGAAATAAATTAATAACTACAATCCTCTTATGGTTCGTATATTGTATCTATATAATAAAGAAATTAAAATTTGCACAATATTATGTATTTTTGTCGATTTTACAATACATTGACTGCGCAAAAAAGATTACCAAAAAAATCAATAGAAATTCCGTACATCCACTGTGGTTTGTTTACTACGTTTACTAACCCATTATTCAAATTATTAAAGGTGAGTATAAATTATTTGTTTCGAAATTTTTTTTTTAATATTTTAATCAGAATAAATAATTTGAACGGGTAAAACTAAACAGCGTTATTTATCTTTAAGGACTCCGAACCATAAAGTATGAAATAAACACTGTCTAGCACGTTACAATGCAACCGGTCACACGTTTGCTGTATTTTAAAAAACGGAATTTCATGTATACTCGTACATGTTTAAAATCTCATAAGAAATGTACTTGTTTCAAATAGTTATTATTGAAATAACACTAAATTTTATTCCACAAATTTTGCATATTTTTAACTAAATAAGTATAGTTTTACATTTTTAGTATATAATTACTATAATCATAAGGTGCAATAAGGTTAACTGATAAATATGATTTCTATGACAAATAAAATAATATTATTTTCACATTTTTGAATACGGTTTAATTTTTTGTAGACCTATTCAGCTGATAACGCTATCAGTAAAAACTAAGAATATTACCGACGAAGATGGCTAAGTAATAACGAAAGTTGTAAATAATTAAGTTTTTATACACTTTTTTTTCCATATTAATATCTAATAAAATTAATTATTTTTCGTTGGATATATTCAGTTTTAAGTGCACGGTTAAAAATGAATATTTAAGCATTTTCAAATATTAGAAGCATATTTTGTGGTTTTTCTGTGCAAATAAATTCGTTCCCTAATTATAAGTGGTGCACATACAAGAAACTTACCTTGAATGACAAACTTGTTGAAAACCCGATGGAATTTGGTGCCGGCATACGTACGGCCGTCGATACCTTCGGTGAGCACGGCGATAAAGTTTGTCACCGTTTTCGGCACGACGATGCCGAAAAGACCGATTTCGATCCTTCCCAGCTCTTTGCCGGCTATCTCCACGTCCAAGTACGCCACGTCCGTCACCGTATATGTCTGAAATTGGATTCCGCGACACGCGCACCATCGCGTCAGTACAAATATCAGCAAGCAAATGTCTTGCAAATGTCAAGCAAACAACAGCGTTCCCGAACCTTTTTCCGTTTACGTGCAGTACCCCTCGACCATAGGCGCAACTAGGATTTTATTGTTGAGAGGGTCTACATTTTTTTTTATTGATATAACTTTGGTGAATTACTCTTATTTTTTAATTTGCATCCGTACCTATTTTGTTAAGGATGGAACATAAACATTTGGGTTGCTTGAGTACCACTAATCTCTACCTCATTGCGTCTATGCCCTCGACGGTCAACTATAGATTCTAGTTCGAACAATCCTTTTTTACTTCACCAAAAAAATAGCGTGATCTTATAAAGGAGTCAAAAATATCCTATGTAAAGGAGTTAAAGATAACTTATATACGAATTAAAACTCGGGAGATTACCTAATTTTGTAGTTTAACATTCTCTCCCTATATAATTGACCACACGCCAGAGCTTTGCATGCCCGTATTTTAATTACACGGTCTTTATTTATTTATTTATTTTTTTGCTTAGTGCTATTATTTTAGAAACGACAAAAAAAGTATATACATCGTATAAAAGAGCATGATTAAGGAATTTATACTGCATAGTTGCATGCTTATTTATGAGATTATCAGAGCTGGAACTTATTAGTCCCGATTTTACTTATTATATTAAATATTAATTATTATACTGCTATGAAAAATAAGCTCACTGATTTTTATATGTAACAAATTTTATAAATATTGATTTTAATAAATTATGTATGTATTATTTTGCACTCTGTACGCTTTAAAACAAGCACTTTGTGGGACGTAGAGACGACAGTGATCAACGTGTTTCCCGAACGGTGTACACAGGGCCAAAGAGGTCGGGGAACGCCGGTGGAGCTCAACAGAGTTTCTACAACACAGTACATCGATGTTTTACATCAAAGGTAATATTTATTTTAATGTAATACCTATTGTACGACTTTATTTTCATAAATTTCGGAAGGAGGAAAAAGCCGAACGTAAAAGAATACCGATGAACTGCAAGAAACTTCTAGTTGAAGGGGGATGGGAGTGATACCGAGAAATATTGCTACAATGGCACTCACCTCGGCTCGACAACGTCCGCCGTTGATGATCGTCACAAAGGCGTAAAAGATCGCGATCGAACGATAGATCCGCATGTTCACCAACGGGTGCCAGTCAGGCGTGTGGTACGTCTCCGCCGAGAAACAGTCGTGGAGTGCGAGGCCCAGGTAGGACGAGCGCGCGCGAACCCACTCAGTTTGTACACAAGTTTTTTTTTCTACGGATTCGCATTGCCCGTCAAAAGGACGTATACAAGCGAGGACGACGTATAGGATTACAGGATTTAATACCCTGACAATGTGCACAGCAAAGCGTTTGAGTGTGCAGACCGATCGGGATATCGCGTCGCGCGCGCGCACTTGGGCGTACACTCCGCTGTCGTGTAGTTATTCGTCACGTTGACGTCTGATTATCCTGTGTGTGTACGTGTAAACACACGCACGTGATGTGTGCGAAAAAGGAAACAATAACACGATGCGAGTAGGTACAGCAGGCCTATTTATTTTAACTTTAAACAGTCTAATAAAAACATCAAACGTTTTTTTTTTTTTTCATAATATTTATACCGCCAAATACAATATATTATCGTTGTACAAAGGATACAAGGATGAATATTAATTTGAAGTCATCGTACTTATATAACGTAAATACTACTTATAAACTTGTTACAATAATAATAATAATAATAATAATAATAATAATAATAATAATAATAATAGTAATAATAATAATAATAATAGTAATAATATAGGTATTGATTATTCCGAACGATAATAATAGTAATAATGAAATAATAATAATAATAGTTATAATAATAATATGCAATAAGTATATATAATAGAAATGAAGATATATATAATAATAAATAAGGTAAACAAAACAAACAATGAAAACAACGTTTAGAAATAATATTATTTCTTTTTTAAACATTTTATTTTATTTATTATTTTTTCTTGTAATAAAAACACGATTGATTCTATATTTAATATTAATATCAGTATTGGAATATTTACACGTACATTATATTAAATAGTTATATAAATATATAAACCTTATGGGTTGTACCATGAAGATATGACACAATACTTGTAGAAAAATGTCAAATCATCACAATACATCCTGCATGTGTATATATGTGTATATATATGGATAATAATAATAATAATAATAATAATAGTAATAATAATAATAATAATAATAATAATAATAATAATAATGATAATAATAATAAAAGGTTAGATGTACGAATAAAATGTTAAAATTAAGTCGATTCGCATAATTTGTATTGTAACAATGTCACTTTTTTCCCGACTAAAACATTTTTAATAATTTTTTTATTATTATTTATTACGTAATCGAACCATTTTTGTCGTCATTATCGTGCAGTTTTAATGAAACACAAATATACATGTATATTTAAATATAGGGTGGTCACTTAGGCGCGTAGTAAGCGCAGCGGCCACTAGGTGACGGTGGCCGTCTTGGCGTTTTCCGCGTTGCACTTGTACTCGGTGCTGTTCCGGCAGTAGTACTTCTTGTGCGCGATGAACGTGGACAGGTAGTTGAACGAAATATCGCACGTCTTGCAGTACTTGGTGGTCATCGCACCGCGTTTGATCATTGTTGGCTGCAGGTCATTGTCCTGTGCGCCTGCGGCTGCAACCGTGTCCTGCGACTGCTGTAGATGGTACGCACCGGCCGCAGACTCGTGTGGTTCCGCTGCTCCACCGGGAGTGACCGTGCCGTTCGACGGCTGCTGCGACTCCTGCTTAACGATCACCGACTCCTTGGCGGCCGGCTCGTCCTCGTCCAACACCACCACCGTGGCCGAGGCTGCCGTGGCCATCGCCACCGGTGGTTTGCAGTCCACATCTGCGGCGACGGTGGGCGTTTTCGCGGCTCCCGCGTCCGCCACCGCCGCCGACACGGACGTCGACGACGCCGCCGAGTTCTCGTCGATCAAACACGACACATAGTCTTCTTCCTGCTCGCGCGCGCAAAAATATTATCATTAATATCGTAAGGAAACTGCATGTCGTGGCAGTAAAAAAAAAAAAAGTTTTATGAGTTTTAGCCAGTGAAGCACGGAAACGCATGGAAGTAGAGGAGTAGAGGAAGACAGATGATGACACAACGGCAGCGGGTGGTAATCGGTACTCCATGAACTTTTTACCCGTCACACAATCAAAGCCATGATACCGAGGTATAGACGGGAAAGCGAGGAGAGACACTAATTTTTATTATCGGCTCACCATGAGATCCGGGATCAATCGTTTATTGAAATGCATGCGAATATGCGTTCTCAGGCCTCGCAGGGTGTTTCCCTTGTACTGACAAATAGTGCACACGAAGGCCCTGATGCCGTTGTGGTTGTCCAGATGCTTTTGGGCGGCCGACGCGCTCGAACAGACGGCTCCGCACACCGGACACTTCCAGCAGTTAGTCGCCTGGCACTGGTGCTGATGGTGATGGTGGAGACTGCCCTCGACGATCATCTGCGTGCGCGAAACAGTGGTGATCGGATTAGAAAGGGCGCGGATGGATCTACCGTTCTACTACTGCGGTACTACTCACTTTGCACTTCGGACACTTGGACAACAGCGACTTGTCGAGCTGGAGATGCTGGAGCGCGGCCGGATCTTGCTGGCCACCGACCGCGACGGCCGTGATTGCACGGTTCGGGCAGTAGTGCGTCTGGTGCGTGGTGAGATTGTCGAAGGACGAGAACTTGACGCCGCACGTGGAGCATATGAACTGGATCATGGGTTGCTTGAGCTGAACCGGTGTGGGGCTCACGCTGTCCTTGGACGATAGTGGCGAGGAGACGTTCAACGGTTTGGGCCCGGGCGAGCCTTCCGGACTGGTTTTGTCCGCCGCGTCGTCCGCGTCCCCGAGCTGCTGCTGGTGCTGCGGCGGCGGTGGTGGTGGCGGCGTCGGACGGGACGCGCAGTAGTGTTTCTTGTGCGCCAAGAAGTTCTCGTACTTGCAGAACACGATGTTGCAGCTCTCGCACTTGGACGGGCCCTGTTTTAGGTAGAACTGGTGCGCAGGCGCCAGCCCGTCGGCCGCGGGCACCGTCGGGTTTGAGGCGGCCGCGGCCGCGGCGGCAGCCGCTGCTGCTGCGGCCAGGCGCAACGTCATATCGGACGTGAAGTACGGAAACGCGGCCGCCGGTGGGGGCCCGAGCACGTCGCTTGTAACGACGCCGCCGGCCGGTGGTTGGGACGACGCAACGCGCCCGAACGGCTTGTTGTGGTGCACCGCGGCCGACAGCGACTGATGGCCACCACCGTAGCGGGAGATGACGGTCGGCGGCGGCGGCAGCGGTTCCTGTTTCACGTGAAGCAGGCTGGACATACTGAATTTGCCGTTCCTCTCGGCGTCCGGCGGCGTTTGCGACTTCTGCGGCGGCGGTGCTACCCCGTTACAAAGACCGGCCGGTTGGACGCCACTGCCCGGCGGCCGCTGATGGTGGTGCTGGTGGTGGTGGTGTGGTTGGGGCGTCCTGTTCCGTGCCGGCGGCGAAGACGACGGCGATGGGATCATGTACGGGATGGACGGCAGGCATACGATGTCTTCCACGTCCGTGATGTTGCCGTCGCTACACCGACGGTTTTCCTTTTCCTCCTCACCGTCCGTGCCACCGCCGATGTCCTGCTGCGAGGACGACTTGACCGACACGCGTTTCAGCCGCAGGTCCAGCGGTGACGATGGCTGCGCTGCCGGTCTCTTGATCTCCGGTTGATTGATCACCTCCGACTTGTTGGGCTGTAACAATACAACGTCGCGGCACGTATTACAATATGTTTATCGGCACTGAACGCGCTAAGTCACCACAACGTAGGCGGGTCGTACCTCTCATGCACGGGCACGACCTGCACAATTCGACTTTAATTGTATTTTCAATCAGTACTGGTTTAAAGCCATGATTATAAAAAAATGATGTTTGAATAATAATAGCAGGAATCGAGAACGGTTTTAATTATATTCGTAGAAGTATGATTTTTTTCAAAACGTGAAGATCGTATTTTCTTTTCCTTTTGGTAGCCCAACATTGAATTCGTACATTTCTCTGGTGTAAGACCCGTTAAAAGAAGTCTGGGCACATTTATGAATAAAGTATGGTATTTTACACAAGGGAGTCTAGTAATCTTTAGGCCGAATTTTTTTATTAATATATTGTGCCTTGAACTTTAAAACTGTGCCAGTATTTTCGCAGGACATGTGAAATTAAAACAATATTTCAGAGTTCAATTACATGTGGAGTAATGTCAGTTACATAGTTCTGCGAAAACTGTATTGGTCAGTAAATTATACACGAAAAAATATATATAAACTATATATTTAACTACGTAGTAGTTAAGTACTACGAATATGTCCATATTAAAATTGCCTCGATAAATATTATAAATATTTTTAAACATCCCTCGTGTAAAAACAGAAATATAATACACAATATTTTACCGAACATTCCAATAAACTTTTTTTGAGCATGTAATTTTTAAATACTTCACGTTTTTTACAATTATTGTTCAATCTTGCATTCAGGGACAAATTATGCGGTCACTTTTTGAAACACACTAGTACGAAATAATCAGTATAATTATTGTATCAATGCGTTTTGTGGTGTTATACTTCGTCGAATGGCTCTAATATTATTACGTACACGCGCGCGTACTTACCGTCGAAAAGAATTCCTCGGGCGGCGACTGCGAATTATCTCTCTGTATGTTGTTCTCGTTGTTGGCGATAATGTTGAATTTGGTGGGCACCAAAGCTTGGGCGATCGGCTGCAGCGTGCCGTCCGATAGAACGATGCACGCGGTATCGGTTGGCGGAGGCGGGCCTATGTCGGTAGACAGGGCTGATAGAACGCTAGCATTTTGCACGAGTGTATAAGGAACTACGATGACAGGATTGGTGGGCAGTGCCAAGTAAGTGGGCACGTTGGTGGGCGATGGGTTGTTGGGCATCGGCGAACTGGACGGGGTCGGTTTTACCACGTGCCGCGTGTTGCAGTAATGTGTCTTGTGGGCCTGATACGTGCGCAGGTTGGAGAATCGGATATCGCAGTTCTGACAGTAGCGGTCGACCACCGATGGATCGGCTGCGTCCGACGAGCATGGTGGCGATTGCATGGACACCGGTGATATAGAATGCATTCGCATATGCCTGTTTAAGCTGACCTGCGCAAAGAAAAACTAATCTTTAAACACCGTTATAATAGTATATTAATTTATATTATAATAACGTTATAAAACCGAGTTCAAATTAATAAGATATTAAAATAGTTTTTAGTTAAATTAACAGCCGTTATAACTAGGCCCGAGAGGGTGGAATAATATCCAATTATTTCGGATAAATTGACATCAAATTATTCACTTCGTTCATCGAGAGTTATGATGATGTATATTTTGTACATAATATTGTATAGTACCTTATAGAATACATATCATTATAATTCGAAAACGTCGACGAAAGAAGTTTATGTTTTAATGTTAATCGATCGGAAATACCGTTCTCTCAGACCTAGTAACAGTACAGTCGGTGATGAATTATTCATCGCCAACTATATTTATCCGCAAAATATGAGTTTAATCAGCTGAGTGGGAATTGAGAATCAAATAGAAATAATAATTTTATCAAACGGAACTATTTTCGATGCGTATTATTACTATTTTATACTTGTCGAAAATACTGCCCAATCACCCAGGAATTCGAGGCGTACATACATGTTATGTTTAATTATCAACTGTATCGATCAAGTTTGCCGTATAATGATAAAAGAATATTCGATTAGAGTCAGTATATGTGTATTAGAAAAACTTCAGTTCTTTGCAATTAAATTGAAATAAAATTCTCTATTGGTGAGTTATAGGATCCGTTCGAATCGAGTGTACAGATTAAAAAGTGATTCGTATAAGATTGCATGGACAAAAATAATTTATATTTAACGCTCACTCCCAGTGAAGGTATGGTTTATTAATCGTATGTTTACAGTTTTAGGTTTACAAAACGATAACTCGTTGTGTGCACTGTGCAGTGTTTAAGACTTGTAGAAAACAAAGATAAAAAAGATTATGGTATCTACACAACACATTTTATTTGTCATCTCTAGTACGATTTCTTTGTTTTCATTTCACTGCCAGCGTGTACACACGAACCAGTGTTTTTCATAATTATTTTTGGGTTTAAAAATCATAACACTGGTGAGTAGACATGACGTACATGAGTGTATTTGAAATTCTGTACAGCTCAAAAATATATGCAACGTTATTATTATTTAGAATGTTCTTGTTTATAAAATTAGTAGAAAACATCTCTATGCTTTTGAATGACAAAAAAGAACACTTTATTATGTTTGTTACACAAATAGGGGTGTTTTAATTAAATTTCTTATCCATAATATTAGTTCATATTTTCCCTATTATGCACATTGTATTAAAAGGTAATTAATAGCTACCCATAATGGTGTAAATACTATAATTTACTTCAGTTGTTAACAATATCAAGTATACATTTATCTCTTTTGATACTATAGACAATTGTAGTATCATCTGTATACACATATGCATTCCAATTGAAATTAAAAGTGTTTTTGCATATTCATTTATCGTGATATTCTATCCGATTTATAATTAACTAGCGGCGGTTATCAAAGCTACACACTTCAAACATTAAAAAAAGCCTTTCGTTCGATTATTCTGCTTACACTATTATACATTATACATTATACGCGGTCTCAAAACTCACATCATACTAGTAGACTTTCGATTGATTGAGCATATCGCACGTATTTTTCAAAAATCACATAACCAAAATATTAAAATTATGGTACAAGAGTATATTATTAAGATTCATCTTTTAAACATATACTTGTAATGTAACTAATTACGAGATTAGCTGAAGAATTTGAGGGCTCATTAATTTTACTATATAGGTAACAATATTATTTGATTGGACATTTTTCAATGTTAACACTGTTATTGTGTTTTATTTTGTTTTAAACTGCGAATCGAATGTGACATTTTCGAAGCATTCGAGTCCGATAGACATATAAACCGAATGGCAAAAAAATGTTTTCTACTGCGCATAAAATATGTGCCCTCTAAAACGACAACGCCTTTGTTATTATATAATTCACGTCTGTACATACAAAACTCACGCCTGTACATACAATTATATCTACATTTGTTTATTCTCATATGTCATTAGCATAATGCAATTGGTGTTCGCGTATGGAACATATTCTTATTAATTTTGTCTTTTCACATCGCATTCTTGATCTTCGATACCGTCACGTTAGACATGCGTGGCGAAAACAATAGTCACACAAAACACTTTTAGCTAAACATACATTCGATAAATATAGATATTTGATTTAAAAATAAAGTACAAATAAGATGCGACATTTTTCTCGATCCCCTGCTCTCTACCATCTCCTCGGTCCTGAGTTCTAGATCCCTAATATAAACAGTGATTTGAAATTGTCCCGCAACCCACTCTGTTCCAACCCAAACACCTAATAATATCATTGTACTAAATGATTTATACATTTAATACATTTATTAAGTCACTTTAGTAGAAAAAAATTAAACGTTGCTTAACATGTGTGTGTATACGTACTTTCTTGTCGGCGCTGTATGAACAATGAGGACATTTGTACTGTTTTCCCGTTCTCACCGACTTGGCTGACGGTTCGACGGAAGACGGGCGGCTATCCGTGTCGTTGCCCAAAACCATTTCGTCCGAGTCGATGACCAGTGGCGGCAACTTGACGTCGTCCGATTCTGAGTCTGAGAGTGTCACGTAAGAGGAACACCATCGTGGGGCGATAAAAGATAGATTATCAGTGAATAAGAGAACAAAAAAAAACCCATTCGTATATCGAATTTTGGATTAAAGCACTACACAGTATATGCTTAGTGTAATCGATTCCAGTCGAGTTATTACGTTTTTATATTACCTTTTTTATGTCTGCGCGAACAATAGTACGTCTGATGGGCGTCCAACGTGCTCAACGAACTGAATCGTATTCCGCATGGGTTACAGATGAATATTTGAATCGCTGCAAACAAACAAACGCCATAAATGGAGAGCTCGTGAAAAATGTTAGAGACCAAAACAGAAAGAAATGTAAAAGAGTTGCTTCTTTGCGAATCGAACGTGCGAAAGCTTACACGTATGTTGTATACAGTTAAAACCGTCCAAGATTAGTTTATAGACCGAACAAATATTCCGTATTTCCGGATATGTAACGTAAAAATTGTTCACTATTCGATTTTCATCGAAACTTTAATTAATTCTACTAGTTTCAATATCATCTACAATGTTCATTTTAGCCAAATTTCGTGGTTGCTGCGGGACGGCAAGTGTTGCAGATAAAGTTCGCACCTAGACTATCCACTAAAAGTTAATTACGGTTCGGTCAGCCATTTAAATTGTTTACGGTCGGTAGGTGGAAAAAAAATGTTTACGTTCAAAACTGTTATCACTCGAGTTCGCCTAAAAAACACTGACGTTCCTTTGAGGGATTCGGACGACTTCCACCGTCTCCGAATAAGTTCCCGCGGTCATGGGAAAGTACTGGGCGCGCCCTACGGTCGTTGACCCAACCCGACCCGACGGCAACGTATGATTTACTATTACGGGACTCGACGTACGTGTAATACGTGTGCGACATTTACCTCTGGGTGTGGTGATGGTGACCACGTTGTGACTGGGCTCGGCGGCCGACGACGACGACGAGGACGAAGACGAAGACGTGGACGATGACGAAGACGATGGGGCGGCGACGGCGGCGGTGGCCGTCGATGTCGATGTGGACGGTGGCGGGAGCAGCAGCGGCGGCGGCGGCGGCGGTTGTGGCGACGGCTCGTCGGCCGGCGACCATCTGGCGGGATCGGTGGCCAAATTCGGGTTGAGCCTAAGTTTCGGTGGCGGGTCGGCCGGAGGGTCTTCCGGTTCTGCGGTGGTTGGCCGCGACGTCGGCGGCGACGACGACGACGACGACTGCTGTTGTTGCTCCTGCTGCTGTTCCGTTTTCACGTCACACGTCGTCGGCGTGTGGTCATCGACCGCATCCTCGTTGGTCGTCCATTCGCTGTCCTCACCGGCTGTGCAAAACAAATCACAAATAAATTATTGTTTCGTTAATTATTCGCGCGAACAACCGTATATGCACGTATTGAAACGATTTCGCGCGAGTCGCAACGTGCGCATAAGGGTTACGGTGATAAAACGGTTCGATAGCGTATGTGCGTTCTACTAAGGGGGTGCAATAGGGTTTTTAGCACCTTTGAATTCAAATATAGCACTCCAGTTTTTTTTCTTTTCAGATCTATATAACCTATAGGAATTACAATTAAATACCATTTAATTTTATTTTCAGCGATTTTAGTAACCCCAATACTATAGTTACGCCCATGCGCCGTAACGTAGTTCCAGCGATATCGCAATCGGTCGTAGTACGGTACGGTCGTAGTGTAAATATATTCATTTTTTTTATTTCAACAGGTGTTCCGACCAGTGACGACCCACAAAGAAAAAATGTAGATACATATTTTGTTTCGTCGGGTTTTATTTTCTTTCCTTAAACGTAAACACAGCAGAAGTCTTTGTTCGCTCGAATCGGTCCAAAGCTGTACACGGTAAATGATACATTACACTCGTGGGACCGACGAAACAAATCGATGTGATAAAAACCGGAATTCGATTTGGTCGTAGGAAAGAAAAAAAAAATCGTAAACCGGATCTAAAACGTATTGCTGCGAGAGCGATGACTGCTGGTGACGATAAGTAGAGAGAACAAAGCTACGAGGATGAGTTATGGCGAGATTTCGAATTTGAATTCCTAGACAAGAAAATGTTACAGCGTAACTTTGTTTGATATTTTTCATTATGTTTGTGTAACGACAATAAACTTGTTGTCGTCAATTACGGCCGTCCGTAAGTAATAAATTTTTCAAAACCTAGTCCAGAACACTGTACATGTATATGCTTGCGTGTGTTGCGTACACGCGTACGTTTGTGGCGCGACCATTTTTCATCGATATGATGTTAAAAAATATTAAAAATATGCTATCAAACGATTACCCGACATAATGGAACAGCGCCGAAAAAGGAATTTATATACGCACACAAACGTGCATGCACTACTATACTCTGCGTAATCAACAATTAGTAAGTCATCGAAAGATATGCCGTATGGATATACAAAATATCGTGTACGAGAGATATCGCGTTGGCCATTGTTTCAAAAGCCATCGGACCGGTTTTCGTATTTGGCTCAACGATGTTTATCTTGTATACAAATATTCGATTGAACGGTATAGTGTGTAGTAAAGTTCACAAAGATTTTCGTTTCCGAATAAAGCCGAATAATATATTGTTTAACACCTCACGGCAAACCTAGAATTGGTACGTTTAACGTATAATAAACGTGAAGATTTTTTTTTTTTGAACAATATTTTCCAGAGAGCCGGGACGGATCGTGCGATTGGCTCACGAAACAATAGCCGATAAAAAAGTATCAGTGTATTGCACACACAAAACGTTTATATATTTTATTAAATTATGTTTTGTACGTGCTATATACGTATATGCGGTGCTTAAGATGGTACGTTAGATATACGCGATCTAGATATTATGGAAACTATCGTGAGCCCGGTTAAAACTCCGAGAACGACTAATTAAAAATACATTTGTACACGATATTTATCGGAGTTCGTACAATGTCAATAATAGTCCTAAATGACATTTTTCATTAATGGTCGTGGAATTTCTTCGTAAAACAACAAACGATTGACCGTTTAAAATCCTGTAAAACACCAATCGTACGATTAATTTCTGTTTGATAGGCATTATTTTTTTATTTTATTCGAAATCGTTACTTTAACACGTGAAAACAGAACGAGTAATAAACTCTAAGATTTCTATGCGTACTTAAACGTTTGACGACTCCATATGTATAGTTCTTACTAATCGATTAATCGAACCAACCCAACAGAAACATTTATTCATCGATCTTATCGTAAATTAATTTAAAACATAATATTGTGGTATTCTCGTACGGCGATTAAAACGTGTATTTGACTTTGGAATAATAATTTTCACGTTCCTCACGTAATTCTTTTCAGGCGTGCAATAGTGAGCAAATACACTCGTATGCAATTAAAACGAAAGTTTTACCGCAAAGCCGCAAGGATCCTACGGTGAGTATGTTATACTGAATTTTAAGTTAATTTGGTAATTCGGAAACGCAGGATAGCGAGATAATTCCTGTTTTTGTAAATACGCACACAATAGCTGGTAGGTACACATGCGCGCCACACCGAGATAAGATAACAAAGCTGTGTGCGACACAGTGGCAAATGCGTTACTAACGTTCGGTTTTAGACGTTTATTGTTTTTTAAGTGTTCGTTTATTTAAATTATATTTTTCAAACGAGCATTATTGTTCTTTTTTTTTTTTAAGTATCTAATCGCTGTGCGTAAAGATACGGCGACGGCGATAAGCGCGGAAATTTCAACGATTAAAAAACGAGCTATTTGTGTTTATCGGCACACAAGGATATAATTCATTGGGAGATTACCATGAATGGCACGAGGATAGAATGACGACAACGTGGGAATGTGGTAAAAACAAAATTTTTTCGTCGATTCGACTGAAACGGAACGCTCAGTAGAGTAAAATGTGTTCGATTTCGAATGTGTAATTACCTATTTTAACACAATTATCGTGCGTGTTCTGTGATCCGCTGTAATATCCCTGCTATACGCATTTGAACCGGAGTAAATAAATACTTGATCGCGCTTTACGTGTAGCTGGTAACTATTATCATATATTATATACATAGGTATTGGTAGTACCTACTCACAATAACTTGTTTGTATCTCGTAAAGTCATTTGTGTGTGTGTAATTATAGTATGTGCATTCATTGGCTCTCGTCATTTTGATGTTTCAGGGAGACAGGGATGACACATGGTGAGATAGATAGATATATAGAGAAGGAGAGGGAGGAAGCTCAGCTCAATAATTAAATCCGTCCTCGATCAATACGCGGAATCATAACACGATCGTTTTGCATTTCATACATCTATAGTGAATAATATTTACATTTTCATGCGCACAAATATATAATGTACACAATACACTTATATATGTGTGCGTGTATATATATATTTGAGCGGGAATCTCCAGAAATCATATTCCTTATCATAAATATGCAGTATCTGCGCAGATAATCCTTTACTTCACGACCGCTTTTCGTCCCTTTTAATCAGTTTCATGGTGTGTTTATTATAAACTCGGGGTTCATTATTATATAATTCCTTTTTATTTATTTTTAATCAAGTATTTCGCTGACCGAGGGAATAATATTTTGTTATTATGTTATTACTTTGTAAACTGATATTTTTAATTTATTACTATAATTTTTTTTTTTTTTTTGAGTAGTTTTAACTTTAGAAATTAATTATAATTTATCGTATTTATTATACCGATCTTGTAAATAAGTCAATATAGTTTAGACGTATTCGTTTATACACGATTAAATCCTTGCTGATACGAAATTCAAATACTAAAAATAATGGTATAAAATATAAATACCATATACAGACAACTAAATATTGTTTTACGCGGTATTATTTACGTAATAATAGTTAACCATGTTCGGACGTCTATTTTATTGTTTTTCGGCAATAATTTCGTGATAATTTACGCGGAATATTGATTGATTGTTTTCAAGTGTGAAGAAAAAAACACAAATTGTTCTTAAATTATAATAATAAAAGAAAAAATCATAATAATCCTGACGATAGGTGTACCACATATACCAAGAAGAAACATAGAAGTATACAAACAATAGCGTTATTTATCATATTAAATTACACTTGACACGTCTAATATTGTTCACTTGGCTTTAGAACACGTTTAGTCGATTTATGACTAATAGGAATTGCCTACAATAACTGTTACTATTTATTGCAGTGCACATGTACTATTATCTACATTATACACTGCGTGCAGTATATATGCCAAAGCTATTTATAAAACATGGATATATACATGGAAAACATGTTAACATATTTACATTAACCCAAATCAAAATGATAAACATTAACCCTCATCACGATCGTCAGTAGTATTAATTAAAATTGATTAAGTCTTATGATTTTCATTAGAAATACTTAGAAACAAAACAACGTATATTTAATGCCTAAACCATTATATGAATCGCGATTTTATTTACTCTGTGTTTACCCGATAATGATTTTTTAATTCAAAACCGGTCGTTCGTTACAAATATAATAGTATTCCACGCTAATAATTTATTTATTTATTTATACCAGAGGTTCTCAACCTTTTTTTTGTTCACGACACACCATTTACATCACAAGTTTTTGTGGCACACTCATATATTTGACAACAACAAAAACTTTGGTTAAGCGCTAAAATATCCAGTTGGGTTAATATCGTACAGTTTAATTACATATGTATCGTATTATCTGCACAATTAATTGACATTTAACTGTCATAGTTTTATTAATCGGTATTTTCAAATATCAGACATTTTTCACGGCACACCTAGTCGATCTCGCGGCACAATAGTGTGCCGCGACACACCGGTTAAGAACCACTGATTTATACATTCATTTACGAGTATTAATCGTTTAATAATTTTTGTTTTATTTAATTACCTTATTATATAAATCATGTTCAACAAGGACTCGCACGGTATTTGCACACAACTATATTCAAATACGACTTGTTCACATTGTATAATATATTACGATTATATAATGCACTACGATACAATTACCTGTCCGTTCATTCACCATTAAGGAACTTATTAAAATACTCTAAAAAACAAGAAAAATGCCTTCAAGAAAATATGATTAAATTCACTCGTAACAGGGTTTAAAAAAAAAAAGTTAGGAAAGTGCTCTTAAAATTATTTTTAACATTGAAAAATTTGTTATTAAATAAATGTTTATTCTTATTAATTATTTGTATAGTTTTATTATAAATCTTCTCCTATATTTGTTTTACCATATAAATTATTTATTATTTAGATAGATACATTCGTTAAAATTTTACCTTGTGTTTCAATA